GCCTGACTTAAGGGCTGTTTTTCTGTGAAAAAGGGTGAGACTATGTGCCTGGAATGTGTGGGGTGGAGAATGGAAAATAAAGTATGAAGGACCCCAGTTTTGGAGAGGTCACTAGGCTGAGTTAGGGGATAGGGAAGGGGGTGAAGAAGACTTCGATGGGTCTACAAAGCCCTGTACGTGCCCGGACTAAGGTTGCCAGATTTAGCGAATAAAACTACAAGACGCCGATTTACATCTGAATTTCACGTAAGCAACGAAAACCTTTTAGTTTATCTCATGGGACTTTTTTAGTTTATCTTTGGGACTTTTTGTTGTTGGTATTGCCGCTCATGCGAAATTCAAATGTAACTAAGCGTCTGGTGGTAATTTACCTGGGAATCCTGCCCCGGCCTGGGGAGAAGGGGGTGGAAGAGACTGGCCTCGGGACCCACACATGGAAAATGAGTGCCACCAGGGAGGGGCGCTCGAGTGAAGAGAAGGCTGAGGCACCACTCCATCTACCCCTCGCCGCCAGCCAGCACCAACGCCCCTACTGGTTCTCCCAGGGAGGGGCTGGCCGCACAGCCCCAGAGCTTTGGTCTCGTCCCACCCACCCCGGCATGCCCCGTGGTGTCGCCGAGCGGCCCATCGATAACTCTACGCTCGGCCTCAGACTCTATCGACTCACTCCTCCACTCGCCGCCCTGGACTGCGGCGGAGCGCCGAGCCGCCGGGACGGTAGTGAGGTCGCGGGACGAGGACCAGAAAGCAGCTCCCGTGTGGCCCGGAGAGCGCACCCGGGGGAAGCTGGCCCCGTGGGACAGAGCCCGGCCGCCGGCAGAGAACCAGGGAGCGCCAGGACCCCGCCTCAGAGGGACTCCTCACATCAGGTCTAGCCGCTGGCCTGCTACGCATGCGCAGTCGCAGCACTCGGCTTCCGGTCGGCCCCTCTCTGCCGCCTTGCGCACGCGCGACCCATCATGGGGCGCGAGAGGCGCCGGCGCAGCTGCCCCTGCGGGTGGCGGCGTCCGCGGCGTGTCTGTGGGGCCGCCACGGGAGTACCCTGCAGAGCTGGCTGGGAGGCTGCCTCTTGCCGGTTGCCGTGCGTGTCCCTAGCTAAGGTGACCAGATGTCCCGATTTTTAACAATTTGTCCCGCGGCGTTTTAAAACAGTCCCGGTTTTTGGAAAGAATTGTTAAAAATCGGGACGTCTGGTCACCTTACCATCCCTGTGCCTCAGTTTCTCCATCTCTAAAATGGTAATATGTATATTCCCGAGTGGACCTATAATCTGTTTAGGACAACGATTTTCAACTGGTGTGCCACAAGAATTTTTAAAACGTGCAATTCCCATTTAGTCAGGAGCACTGACCTCTTTTCCATTAGATTGTCAAATTTCAAAACGATAACAGCCAACACAACAATAGCCCTTCAGTGTGAATGAATCACAATTATAACTTTTTTTTTTTTTGGTCAGATCAGCAAAAATATTTCTTGGTGTGTCGCAGAATTTTAGTATTTAGTGTATGTGTGCAATGAGATGTAGAAGATTGGAAATCGCTGGTTTAGGACATAAAGGGTATACTCACCTTTCTATTTTCCAGATCCTCTGACCTTTGACCCCTGCCGAGGCTTCCAAGCAGCCACAACATGAACACGTCCCCAGGCACTGTGGGCAGTGACCCGGTCATCTTGGCTACTGCGGGCTATGACCACACCGTGCGGTTTTGGCAGGCCCACAGCGGGATCTGCACCCGCACGGTGCAGCACCAGGACTCTGTATCCTCTGCTGGGGAGGTGGGGAGGTGGTGCTGGACAGGATCCCTGGTGGGGTTGGCAGCCTGGGCGAAGGCCTGGGGTGGGGAGAATACAGCAGCAGCTGAGCCAGATGGTGGAGGCCTTGAGGGCTCCTGACTCCAGGGCTCTGCTGGTCCTCATCCTTAGCATACGTAGCAGGTGAATGCACTGGAAATCACGCCCGACCGCAGTATGATTGCTGCTGCAGGTACCTGTACCCTCAACCTGACCCCTAACCTCTTGGTGGTTTGATCTAGGCCCAGCCGAACCTCAGTTTGGTCTGTGCCCACAGGTTACCAGCACATCCGCATGTATGATCTCAACTCCAATAACCCCAACCCCATCATCAGCTATGATGGGGTCAATAAGAACATCGCGTCTGTGGGCTTCCATGAGGATGGCCGCTGGATGTACACGGGTGGGGAGGACTGCACTGCCCGGATCTGGGACCTCAGGTGTGGATGCCAGGCAGGAGGGCCAGCTGCCTGGATGTGTAAGGGTTCTGGGGGTATGGGAGTGAGGGTCAACCTGGAGCGTTCCCTCTCAGCAGAGCAGAGACAGGGTTTGCTATGTGGGTGATTTATTGAGAGCAATGAGGAAAGCAGGTTAGAGAAGAGATAAAGCCTCACAAAGATGAGTCCAGTCTCAGCCTGATCCCACAGGGAACTCTGGAGAATAAAATGCATCAAAGAGAAAGTCCTGCCTTGAGGCAGGGGACTGGCCTTTATGTCCCTTCTGAGTCAATCATTGGCTTCAGACTGCCCCTGGTGAGTGTGAGCCTCCTAAGTATTTCCTGTGGGGCAGCTCTTACCAGCGGAGGGACAAGGATAAATGGCCAGGGAAAGGGCATGGGGGGGAGGGGCACCAACAGCATCTACAGTATTTGCCTCCCACCCCAAAGGTCCCGCAACCTGCAGTGTCAGCGGATCTTCCAGGTGAACGCACCCATTAACTGTGTGTGCCTGCACCCCAACCAGGTGAGGGATGTGCACAGGTTTGGGCACCCTGGGGCTTTGGGGGACAGGGGTCCTGCCTTATCTCACACCTTATCCCTTGCACCCCAGGCAGAGCTCATTGTGGGTGACCAGAGCGGTGCTATCCACATCTGGGACTTAAAAACTGACCACAACGAGCAGCTGATCCCTGAGCCTGAGGTCTCCATCACATCTGCCCACATTGACCCGGACGCCAGCTACATGGCGGCAGTAAATAGCACTGTGAGTGCTGGGGTGTGTGTATCAGGGGAGACCAACTCCGCGCCCTGCCCCTTGTCCCTGTATTCCCTTCAGGTGTCTCCCTTACCCCACTGTCTGCTTTCCCTTCCTGTACTCCAGCTCCAACCATCACCAAAGTCAAGATGCCACCTCTCGTTGCCTGCTGTAGCCCCATCAGTCCCCACTTCCTGAATCTATCCTGAATCTGTCCCATTCACCCCATTTTCTTGTCCAAATTTCCCTTGCCTCCCCTTCTCTGTGGCCTCTCTCTGACCCCCCCATCCCAATCCATTCTCTCTCTGCCACCAGGGCATTCTTGAGTAGTACCAGCCTGATCCCATTGTTCCCTGCATAAATCCAATGATGACCCTGGCTCCTTATGGCCTCAAGATACTGTGGGTGCCCTCCTCTCATCTCTCTTTTTTTTTTTTTTATCCTCACCCAAGGGATGAGGATATTTTTTCCCATTGATTTTAGAAAGTAGAAGGCAGGGAGGATGGGGTGGGGGGAAGGACTGGAGGGAAGAGGAAAGAGAGAAACATGATGTGACAGAGACACATTAGTTGCTTGCCTCCCACACTCACCCTGACTGGGGGCAGGGATCAGACCTGCAACCTAGGTATGTGCCCTTGAACCAGAGTTGAACCTGTGACCTTTCAGGATGCAGGCCATGCTCCAACCATTGACCCATGCTAACCAGGGCCCATCTCATTCTTCGCATTCTGGTTGGCCAGCAGCATCAGGAAAGGTAGATATAGCCTTTTGCTCTGAGCCCACCTGGTGTAGCCCTTGATTGGGGCCAGGCCTCCAGGTGCTCCCTGCAGATGGGACTTGATGTACCTGCAATATGTTCCCGGCCCCAGATCCCCCATGTACAACCACAGTGTTGGATGGCAGACCCTGGATCTGGGTCTACCTGCTAGGGCATCCATCCCCATGTGTTAGACTGGAGGTTCTGGTCCCCCATGATTTTCCTCCTACCCCGCAGGGGAACTGCTATGTCTGGAATCTGACCGGGGGCATTGGCGATGAGGTGACGCAGCTCATCCCCAAGACCAAGATCCCAGCACACACCCGCTACGCCCTGCAGTGCCGCTTCAGCCCAGACTCCACGTGTGTGCGGGGCCTGGTGGACCAGGAGTTCCTGTGGCTCTGGGGAGGAAGGGACCTGCCTGGGTTGGGGGCTTTTTGCATCTGGGCCTGCTTGGTGGATGGCAAGGGGATGCAGCATTGGAGTGACTGCTGACGGCATCCCCACCATGCTCACACCCTTAGGCTCCTCGCCACCTGCTCGGCTGACCAGACATGCAAGATTTGGAGGACGTCCAACTTCTCCCTGATGACGGAGCTAAGCATCAAGAGCAGCAATCCCGGAGAGTCATCCCGAGGCTGGATGTGGGGCTGTGCCTTCTCTGGGGACTCCCAGTACATTGTCACGGGTGAGTCCCACCTACCCTGCTCCCCTGCCCTGCTAGCCCAGGGTGGTTGCTGGGGCTTCCCTGCTACCTGGGAGCCAGCCTCCAGTGTGGGGCCGAATCCTGAGTTGCTACCCATATCCTCCCTCCACGCAGCTTCCTCTGACAACCTGGCCCGGCTTTGGTGCGTGGAGACGGGAGAGATCAAGAGAGAATACGGCGGGCACCAGAAAGCCGTGGTGTGCTTGGCCTTCAATGACAGTGTGCTGGGCTAGCCTGTGCCCCGCCGGGACTGCATGCAGCCGTCAGGCAGCACTGGCTCGATGTGACTGTTCAGCTGCCGAGTCAGAGTGAACCCTTCCTCAGGCTAGCCTCTGCCATGGCTAGCTGGACCTGACTGGCTACCCTGGCTCCCTTGGCCAGCCTAGATGCCAGCTGGTCTGCCTGGGGGCTCTTTTAGTCTCCAGTTGCTTATCTGGATGTGACAGGTCTCAGGAAGCTGACCCAAGCGGCCTGGCTGCTGCCCACCCCCAAGCCAGTGCTTTTCCCCTCCCCACCCATTATATGTTTCAAGACCACAGAAGACACCATCATGGCCAAGTGGAGGGGTTTATTAGCCCCTGCTGGTGGCTGCCTTCCATGGTACTGATGAGAGGGCCGTCCAGCGGGCTGGCCTGTGGGGCTGGGGGGGCTGGGGGTTCAGTCTGGGAGGTAATAAAAGCAGACTGACACACAGATGTTGCTTGGGAAGCAGATGTCGATGCATAGATAGATCAGCCGCTGCCTCCGGGGCCCTGTGGGAAAGGGTCTTAATGAACCCCAAAAGAGTTCCTCTCCCTCTCCCAGAATGTCCATGGGAGCCCAGGCCTCTCCCCATAGCTGCCCCGACTCACCCTCTGCTCGACGGGCCCAGTAAATGGGGATCTTTGAGCAAAAGTGCCGGACTGAAGCCCCCACTTGGGCAGGGTCCACCTCATGGCTCCCAAGCACGGCCAGCAGCTCCTGAGCATAGTGGGTGTCCTGGCTGGGGCTGTTAGACCCCTGGGTCTGCAGAGAAGGCTCTGGTGGGCCTTGGGACAGGGATACTTGCACTGCCTTCGGCTGGGCAGGGCCCATGAATCTGTGGACATGCCAGCAGTGTGCCAGCCACGCCCTCAGTTCTTGTCAGCAACCTCAGCAAAGGGAAGATAGAGCTGCTGTTCCCCTGAAACCAGAGCCCAACCCACCGGGCCCAGGCTGCACACAGGACCCTTTGTCTGGCCCCTGGCCTGGAAAGTCTGATTGTGCGAGTATGGAGGCTGCTCACCTTCGAGGTGTTCACCAGGAGCTGCAGGGTCTTTCGATCTCTGGGCTCCATCAGGTGGAGGAAGCAGGCCCGGTGCTCTGCAGGTCGGTAACAGACACAGCCCTGGGGAGGCAGGCAGGTAAGGACAGTCAATCTGAACACCTTTTGACAGTGATACCCCCCTCCCCGCCCCCATCCCCACCAGTCAACTCACGCTCTGCCCATCGAACAGCACCGCCCAGCTGTGGTTACTCTGAGTCGGCGTTACCCTGATGGTTGCCACATTCCCGGCCACGTCCACCTGGGCAGTTTGGTTGAACTGGTACACCCTGGGGCTCGGGAGGGTCAGACGGAACGTCTGTAGCAGTGGCTGGGTGGGAAGCCAGAGCTTAGCTGGGCAGGCGAGGGCTGCCCTCACCCTCTTTCCCCAGCCCTTCTCGGAGCTTCTGACTCCTCCACTCCTTTGTCCTCCCCCTGTAAGCTCAGCTCTAAGCCCTGGATTTATTGGAGGGCTGGATATGCTGGCTTCTCCCCCTTCCTAGTGTGCGTGCCTGCCCAGGTCCTGAGGAGGCTCACCTTGGGAGGGCTGTGAGCAAAGCCAAAAAGCCCTCCAGCCACAGCCCCAGCAGTGGCCAGTGCCAGCAGCAGCAGCAGCAGCAGGCCCAGGGCTCCCCAGCCCCCATGGCAGGGCCTGGTCTTCACCTGAGGGCACAGTGCAGTCAGTGGGGCTTAGAGCAGACTGGCTCAGGGGAGGTAGGGGTTGAGGTGTGGGTGATGGGTGTTGCCCTCTTGTCCCCTGCTCAGGGCAGGCCCTGGGTCTTTGTCCCAGGAGTGGGCCCTGGGTGATGGGAGGCACTCACCCTGATAGGCCCAGGCCCGGAGTCCTCTGCACAGCAGCTCCCCTGCTCCATGATGCAGCCCTGGTGACAATGCACTGATTGTCTGCCACTCCTTGGAGTCAGCCAGGAAAACCTCAGGAGCCGCTGATAAGCCAAACAACCGTCCTGGCCCCCTCCCCTCCTGACCCTACTGCCTCCTCCCCAGCCCAGCTACCTGAGCCAAGACAGCCCTCTCCCCTCCACCTGGAGGGGGGATGAACTTGTCACGGAGCCTGGCCCTCCTCACACCTGGCCTGTGCCAACCTGAGAACACAAACCTGGTAGGGCATGAGAGCAAGGCTTTGTGGAAATCAAGACCTGCTGGAGGGCAGCCCAGGCCTGGCAAGAGCAGCTTTGCAGCCTCATTGGGGGCAGATTAGTTTTTCCTCAAGAGGCCTGTTTCTAGTCTCCTGGGTTACCTAGACTCCTAGGGCTGGGCATAAGGCCTGGTACACAGCAAACCGTCAATAAATGCCCATGAAAGGTTGGTATTCTGCACTGCCATCCCACTTCCCAACCCCTGCAATTTTGGGTTGGGTAGCATCCCAGAGACTGCCCGACACCAGGAAGCTCTGCTGCAGCCTACTTGAACCTCCCTTGCACTCTGAGATGGTTAGGTCAGCCTTGTGTCCACCAGCTTCTGCCCTGACCAGCATGGCTTTCTCTGTGCTATGGCCCTGGCTCCTAGCTTGCATTTCCAGTTACTTAACACTGTGGGTTGCCCCAGGCAGCTTTCACAACACTGGTGTCCTCACCAGGAGCCCTGTCCTACTCTGGTTTCGCTGTGCTTCCTTTTCCCTGAATCTTCAGAGCCTGTTCTGTTATGAACCTGAGATGCGGTTGTTTCCAGCTCTGGAACAGAAAAGCCTTCAACTAAGTCCTCCCGCCCCATACCCACATGAAGGCTAGACAGCTGCAGCCTGGGTGTGAAGGCTGCTGTCAAGGCGAGAGCAAGGAACGCTAGTCAGCATGGGTTTGAGAGTTTAATGTGCATATGAGTTCACACAGTGCGAGAAGGGCAGAGGTGGGGCGCAGAAGAGGAAGGTGTCGCTGGCTGCCGCACCTGCTGCGTGCTCCTGGTGTGGGTGACAACGCCCTGACAGGCCTGCTCAATATCCAGACCCACCTTGAGCCGACCTCGCAGAGCCAACGTCAGCACCACCAACCTCACAGGCACCGGCTGCCCTGCTGTTGTTGACAGAGTCCAAACCCCAAACACTCCAGGCCTGGGAGGAGCTAAGGCTCAGGATACCCTCTGCTACTGAGAACTCAGAGAAAGAAGTGAGGGTGCTGGGACTCTGGGACTAGGAGAGAAGCCACAGGTTGTAGGCAGACCCCACTGGGTGCAGAGCAAGGCGCCAGGAAGGAGTCGGCCCAAAGGAACAGCTTCCAAGGCTCTACCCTACAAGTGCAGCTGGAAAGTCTGCTTATCAGGCCTGTTCCCAAAGGTCAGCAACTTATGGAATAGGCAAAGGCAGGGCTCCCTACCAAGAACCTGTGGCTCGCCGGTGAACCCTGCCAGTCCTCCAGCTGGCCACTGACAAAGGACTCAGAGCCAAGACAGTTGGCCTCATGGACCATTGGCATCTAACCCCCACTCAGCCGAAGGTATGGAGGCCAGGGAGAGGCTGGATGCTTTGTAGGAACCATTTTTCCTGTCCTTGGGGACACTTCTTTCCTCTCCCACCCAAAGGGCACCCTGGATAACAGGCATTCCTTGGCCTGCATATGACTTTAGCCCTGCTGCTCATTGCGGGGCCTGGAGATTTCTTCAGTGTGATTTGCCCTACAAGACAGAGCACAGCTATTAACATGCTTAAGATTCAATCCCACCCCTTGACAAAGCTGTTCAAAACTTTAAAAAAATAATTTTTATAACAATGCTGCTCTGAGCTCCCTACACAGCAGGCCAAAGTTCAGCAAAGGCACCCATGTCCTCCTGGCTACTCAGCCAACAATATGCTCCCTCCATGTCACTTGGGTTTAAATGCACATTTGAGAAAGCTGTGGTTTAGCTGGGGTGAGTTGACAGAGCTGCACAACCATGTATGAGGAGCAGCAGCCCTGAGCATCTGAAACACAACTCTCACTATGGCAGGGTGGTTTGTAAGGAAATATGGAGTGGTGGTGGAAAGGACTGCTCTCCACACCCCAAAGACAGGGAGACACTACCAGGGTACCACCCAATCCTCCATCCCACCCTGCAGGCAAGGAGATGGAACACAGCAGCAAGCTCCTCTGCTGATGACCCCGTCCATGGGGTCATGGGTTGGTTTGTACATTTCTCCTGCTAGTCAAAATAATCCCTTCTCCCCTTTGCCCAACAAGGGGACTTGATCCCTGAATAAAATTTTCAATGAAATATGAGCCCCCTAGACCTACCTCAGTCCCATCAGCAGGCCCTTAGGTTATCTGAATTCTGGACAGATGTGAAGCCTGCTCTTGCCAATGGCAACCAAGGCCCAGAATCCCCCCCACAATGGCCTCCAAATTTAAAAGTGCATTTTAGGCCCTGGCCAGGTGGCTCAGTTGGTTAGAGGGTTGTCCTGATATGCCAAGGTTGTGGGTTCAATCCCCAGTCAGAACCCACAACCTTGAAGCAACCAATGAATACATAAATAAAAGCAAATTGATGTTTCTCTCTCCTTTACTCTCTTAAAAAAAAAAAATGCATCTTAACTTATAAACACCTCTAACAAAATCACCCCCCAAACCTTTACTTCCAAGGTTACCAGTGCCTTTGCTTAGCTCCAAGCATCACCATTAAAGCCTCCTAGCTGAGCAAGTGCTTAAGCCCCACCTATTAATTTGGTTAAGTGATTTTCAATTTTTTTTTTTTATTCTGAAGATTAAAGATGCTAAATCTTTAACCTTGAAGGGCAGGCAAAAGGTCGGCTATGCTGTCAACATAGAAGTCAGGGACCATTTTCTTTTTAGACATGCAGTCACTTTCCTGATTACTCTTCACGTCTCTCAGAGAGGAGACTCCAGTGAGGGTGAGGATGGTCTTTAGGCCACAGGTGACGCCCAGGAGGATATCTGTGTCCAGGCGATCTCCCACCATGACGGTGCGCTCTGGGTTGATGCCGTACTCCTGGGACACGCAGTCGAAGATGAAGCGGCTGGGCTTCCCTATGATGTCGGCCTGGCGCTCAGCGGCCATCTCCACGGCTCGGACCAGACAACCGGTACCTGAGGGGCGGAGAGGGGGTGGGGGAGAGCGCCCGAGGTCAGAGGGTTGGAAGGGCCCGCCGCTGCCGCCCTCCAACCCCCTACCCCGGGGCGCACGGACCCGCGATGAAGCGGCCGTTCTCGAGGGGGAGCCGGTTGTCCATGTTGGTGCCCACGAGCAGGCAGCCGGGCTGCTGCAAGTAACGCACGGCCTTGGTGAGCTTCATGTAGCTGAAGTGCGGGTCGAAGCCCACCACCACGGCGCGCACATCGGGCTCGAGGGGCGCGTCCAGCCAGGCGCCAGGGCCGTCGCCATGCAGGGGATCGGGCCCCACGCCCACGCAGGCGACGCCCACGGCCTCCAGCTCGGCCGCCAGAGCCGCGCTGCCCAGCACGTAGGCCTTGGGAGCCGGGGAGCCGGTCAGGTGCTGGCGCAGGTAGAGCGCGGTGCAGTAGGCCGTGCCGAAGACCTCGGGGCTGCCGCCGGGTCCCGCGGGGCCGCCGAAGCCCAGGCGCCGCAGCTTCTCGGCGTAGGCCTCACGGGTCTTGCTGCTGTTGTTGGTGATGAAGCCGAGGCGTTTGCCGCGGGCCCGCAGCGCCGTTAGGGTCTCCGGCGCGCCGGGCACGGCCGTCTCGCCGCGCCACAGCACGCCGTCGCAGTCGAACAGCAGCGTGTCCACGTCGGCCAGCAGCGCCTGGGCCCGCTCGGCGTTCAGCCGCACGCAGCGGGCGTCGTCGCCGCCTGCCTCCGCCTCTGCCATGGCCGCCTGCCGCCGTCACCGCCACCGGCAGCCACCGGCCTCTCCTCACAGCCGCCCGCCACAGTGTCCGCCCCGCCCCCGCCGTGCTCATTGGCCCCCCCGCCGCACGCGCGCCACCCATTGGACGCCGCCTGCGCCAATCCGCCCCTGCCTACCTCAGGTTGCCGGAGCTCGGCGCCAACCGTCACGGGCCGGCGCAGGGAAGGGGACAGCTATTGGCTGTAAGTCCAGGGCCGCCTCGGTGATTGGCTGGCAGGGAGCCAACCGGCATTCGGAGTGGAGCCTTGACTGCGGAAACGCTGCGGAGCCGGGGAGCCGGCTTGGGACGTAAGGCCGCTGCTTATTGGGCAGCTCAACGGGCAGCTCGCTCATTGGAGGCGCGTGGTCAGCTTAGGTGACGGAGACCCTTAATCGAGTGACCCTCAATCGGGCAGGCTGCTGACTGGCTGGGTGGGGTGCTGCCCCCCTGTCGGAGGCAGTCACGTCTTCCTTCACCTTTGCTTGGGTTGAGCCCGGCATCGTCCTTCCCGCTGGGCAGTCTCCGCACACAGTGTCAGCGCGCGGACAGGTTACGGCCAGTCCTGAGAGCCACCTCGGAACTCCTTCCTCACAAGCCTTGCGTTGTCATTTCCCAAAATGCTTTTCCCCGCGGTCTTCGTGGTTTTGTGAACGAGTAATTTCGAGGCAGTGGGATTAGGGTCCTTATTTGGTCATCATCATCATTATTAGGTTCTTGTTATCTTTTGTTGGGGTGTGATGTATAATAAAGTGCATAAATCTTAAGTATGCAGCTTGATGGCATTTTTACATTCCTATACACCTAAACACAACCCAGATTGAGATTCAGAATATTCCCATCACTTCCAAACTTCCCTCACCTCACCATCCAGCCAATAGCGGACACCCCTCACCAACCTCTTTCCTGACTACTATCACCGAGAAGTCATGGCTTCCTTGGCCTGTTCCAGACCATCTTAAAAAAATATATTACTGTGTGTGCCGAGACCGGTTTGGCTCAATGGATAGAGCGTCGGCTTGGGGACTGGGGGGTCCCGGGTTCAATTCCGGTCAAGGGCATGTACTACCTTGGTTTTGGGTATATCCCAAGTGGGGGGTGTGCAAGAGGCAGCTGATCGATGACTCTCATCGATGTTTCTAACTCTCTATCTCTCCCTTCCTCTCTGTACAAAATCAATAATAATAATAAAAAAATCTTACTGTGTGTATTTTCTGGCTCTTGATTCTTTGGATCAACATGTCTGTGAAATGCTTCCTTCTTAGTGTTTTTGTTTCGTTTTAGTTGTGTCAACGTAAAAATAAAAACTTTCAAACCTATGAAGAATTTTTGTGAGTTTATTTGAGCCAAACTGTCAACAATTGCTGGGAAGCAAAATCTCAACGGACTGAGGTAATGCTCTGGAGAATGGCAGTTTTGCACTTTATTTTACACATTACAATCAAAAGAGGAGATGTATATGAAATCCACTGGTGATAGATTAGGGAGGCAGGAGAAAGCCAGGGGAGGAGGAGAAACCTCTGGGATTGGATAAAAAGTAAAATGATAGACACATACTTCTTTTACATATAGGTGGGTATAGGATAGTTAACAGTCAACAATAAACTCAATAACAGGGGATTTATGGTCTTGGTCCCCAATTACTGCAGGTGCCCGTGCTTTAAGGGGTCCGGAAAAAGGAAAATTACTTTGACATTCCAACGATAAGTTATCACAGATGCAAAAAGACAATGACAGGCTCAGTTAGGGTAAAGACTGACCTTTGTCAGGGAAGATACTGGCCTAGGACATGACTACCCACCATACGCTGTTTTTAGCTAAAATGTTTTAATTTCAGACTACGATAAATACAATTTAATGTGTATTTATCACAAAGT